TCTCTTTGGATCAAAAATCTGTTTTCCCACATGATAAAACTTATATCCCTGAATATAATGCCTTTGCAAGTATTCATCCAGTTGCTGCTTAAACATCTGTACAAACCCTGATAAAACCACCTCTTCAGACAGAATATTCCAACACCTGCATTGTTCTTACTGTTAAAAACCCTTTTCTATGCCTTGGACTAAATCTCCTTTCTTTCAGTCTAAATGCAAGACCTTATATTCTATGTATTGTCCTATTTATGAATAGATTTCATGGTATCAAAAACAGACAGTGAACTGTGAATAATTAACTTGACTGAAAAGCCACATTTAAATCCTTAGTGATTGGTGCAAAGGTTTTTCCTTTTAGGATCAATAAATAGACAAATATTAACAAATGGTCCAGGAAAATTTGCTTGTGAGTGGGACTACGTCTTTAGTAAGGAAATAGTGTGCCTTGGTAATAACATCCCTAGGTTGTGATGACAGGAAACGTTTAGGCTTCAGCAGACGATGAGAATGACCAAGTAGAAGTTCTCTATTTTAGAAATTCAGAACCAGTGACACAAAAAAGCTGTGACATATGCAGCCAGGTCTTCAGGCAGTATATCTTCTGGAGTGCCCCATAACTGCAAGTTGCTGCAACAATCTTGGTCTCCAACTGCTTGGATGTCTGCCCTGATATTTTAGGCCATTTTAGAAAAAGCTGCTTTAAGGGAGGATTTAAAGGACAACTGTCACCTCAAAACTATTTCTTAATATAATAATCCTTTCCTCAAATTTTGAAAGGAAATTGACATTTAGTCTCTATAAGTTCCCTTGCTTCTGTGCAGGGAAGACCAAAGAGACTCAGTTTTCAAATACTGTCCGACCAAAGGTGCTTGTATATCACTGAATGATCCTATGATTATATGCTAAAGGTAGGAATGAGTTTCTATTTTATTTTTTATTTTTTACAAATACTTTATTTAAAAAAAATCTATTTCCTTACAGGGACACTATAGTCACCAGTACAACTACAGCTTTATGTAGTTGTTCTAGTGATTATAGTCAGTCCCTGCAGGCTTTTTAATTTAATTCCTGCCTTTTCATTGAAGAGGCAGTGTTTACATTGTTGCCTAGTAACACCTCTAGTGGCAGTGATGCATACGGCTATTAGAGGTGCTTTCTGTGTCAGTGCTGAAGAGTGTGCAGCACTGGCTTTCAGCGTCTCCACGCTCTGCATGAAGGCGCTGAACATTCCGCATAGAGACGCATTGATTCAATCCACCTCTATGAAGAAATGCTGATTGGGGCAGTGCGGCATTTTGTTGGAAAGCATTGGATTGGCTGAGATCATCAAGATTGATGATCTCAGTCAAGGAGGCGGAATGGGGTCAGTCTAGAGGAGACCGCAAGATGCTGGAGTAAATGTGAGAACAATCACCTTTAACTTAGCTGACAAGGCGGCAGGGCTCCTAAACTAGGTTTTCACAGGTACAGTAACATAATTAAATGTTAGTATTCCTGTCACTATAGTGTTCCTTTAAACTAGACGAAAGGATTATTATATTAAAACATTTTTTGACAGTTAGTCTTTTAACCCCTTAAGGACACATGACATGTGTGACATGTCATGATTCCCTTTTATTCCAGAAGCTTGGTCCTTAAGGGGTTAAACTCATTTATCATGCCCTGTATAGACAAGTCTGTTTCTGAACAGCAATCTATGCACACACCTTTCATATTTTTCACGTGTTATCTATGTAAACATGCTTTTTCCCTCCATAAATGTAATATGTTACAGTATAATACAACTTCTCATCGAAAAGGTTATTTTTTTGGATGAATCATATTTTCTGAAACATGCCTTTTTGAGCTAGCAATATCTATATTTAAAGTGGACCTGACATGTCTCTTGTACTGAAACCATTTTTAAAGCAGTGACGTTATAATTTATAGAGATAATGCATATATTTCAATAAATTAGGAGATTCTAATTGAGCATTTACTTTCTTTCTAGTAACATATATGTGACCATCATCCCAAGTTTGTGGGTGTTACATGTGGCAAAGATGCCATGTGTTCCTAAAGGGGCCTGCTGGCTTGCCTCCTGCCCAAAGACTATGGACCATGTAAAAAGACATGTTAAAAATTGACTTCCATTAAAAGTCTGAACCACTGAACTGATCTGAGTGATTTTTGGATATAATGGTCACTCAGATCATGGCTATCCTGCAGTGTCGTAGCTAGAGCTTTGGCCGCCCAAGGCTGCCCCTGAGTTTGCCGTTTCTATCTCGACCCACGTCATCTCTGGTGCAGTCGCAGGCGTCCATGGCTGCACCAGACATACCTCTTTTAAGCACAAACTTTTCAAGCTTTTTTAAGATATACACCAAATGAATACATGCATGAAAAATTAATTCATGTAATTCATTGGGGGCATATCTACTACATTGTGATTTTATTGGGGGGGGGGGGTGTTGCCCATTTGGGCAGAGTGTTCCTTTAAATAATTGTTACTGAAGCACTTCAGTATATTTTACTTTTTATTGGTGTGAAAAGAAACACACTTATTAAATCTAATTTTATATACACATTTTTTAAAAATATACTTTTATTTTTTGGCGGGGTGTGTGTGGAGGAGTGCTGTGGAAGGTGCAAGGACGACGTAGGATCTGTGCAGGTAGGGAGGTGGACGGTGCAGGGGAGGCAGGGAAGAGAGGGGATCAGTACAGGGGAGGGAGGGTGGCTGTCAAGGTGCCGGGGAGGCAGGGGGAGAGGTGATCCGTGCAGCGTAAGGGAGAGGGAGTGGGGATCTGGGGGAAAGGGATCTGTGCAGGGGAGAGAGGGGATCTATGCAGGGAGGGAGAGGATCTGAGCAAGAGAGGGAGGGGGGATCTGTGCAGGGGAGGGAGGTGGAGAGGGGTATGTACAGGGGAGTGAGGGGGACTGTCAGGTCACAGGGGAGGCAGGGAGAGAGGGGATCTGTGCAGGGGAAGGAGGGATAGAGGGGATCTGTGCAGGGGAGGGAGGGAGAGAGGGGATCTGTGTAGGGGAGAGAGGGGATCTGTGCAGGGGATGCTGTGGTAATGGAGATGTGTGCATGGGGAGGCAGTGGGAAAGGGGATGTGTGCACGGAAGGCAGGGAGACATGTGATCTGTACAGGGAGGGGGGCTGTGAAGGGAGAGAGGGGATCTGTGCAGAGGAGGGAAGGGGACTGTTAGGGAGCCAGTGGAGAGGGGATCTGTGCATGGGAGGCAGGGAGACAGTCAGGGAGGGCGGGAGAGAGGGCATGTATGCAGGGAGGGGTACTGTCAGGGAGGGAGGGGGAGAGGGGATCTGTGCAGGGGAGGCAGGGGGAGAGGGGATCTGTGCAGGGGAGACAGGAGGGGAGGGGGCTATGCAGGGAGGCAGGAGGACCGCTCCCCACCCCCTTCTTGCTATGCCACTGCTATCCGGGAATGTTACTCTTGAAGGGTTTCCATGGATTTTGGGGGTACTTTTGGGGTGTTTTTGAAATTGTGTGTTTTTGTGTACCTGGAGATAATTGAGTTTGTACAGTTCCTAACTCAAGTTTCTCTCAGGCACAGAGGAAGAGTATGTTGAATATATTGTTTGTATGTGCCTCTCCCCCTCCCCCTTTTTCCTGTCTAATTGTTTCCCCAGCATGGCATTGTCCCAGGGACACTGCCAGACCAGTTTAAACTAACTGCTTTGTCCCTACTCAATCTCCCATCAGCTTATGGTGTCCCGGTGCAGTACTTACGGTACTCGTGATTAGGAAACATGAATTGGTGGAGGTACCCAGTTGGGGTACCAGGCGGTCCGCCACATTACACTAATGTGCCACCCCATTATAGATATGCTCCATCCAAAAACCACCTCCTATATTGTTCAGCCTTTTAGATTTACACATCTATACCTTTCCTAGCAATAGTGCTAGCACAATCTTTAGCTAATGTTTAATGCTCTATATGTTAAAACAGTTTGTGATGTGATATATAAACTTTACATTTATTAAGAAAATGTTTATCTTTAGGTTTGATTGTACTTATTGTCCTATATTCTTCAAGTAGGTGACTTGATGTTAGAAACGGTGAAGGAGAATTGAAAAGAAAAGAGATGTTGACTTTTTGGCTGTTTATAAAGAGAAGGTGAGTAGTTTCAGATAATGATCACAATTGAAGAAAACATTTTTTTACATAGTGTTAAAATTATATTATCGTCTCTATAACCGTATTGGCATATGCTAAGTAAGCTTTTTTAAAGTACATGCCAAATCGCTGTACTGATTTATATTGGATGAAAATATGCTTTATTCTTTTGGGACTGTATAAATTGCATTGATACATTGTAGTTCTTAGAATTCGTTGTTAGAACACTTATGGTGTTTGATATTTTGGACAAAAGAAGGTCAACGAAATTGAATGCCTCTGGTAACATTTTATAGGTCATTGTGGGCTGTTTTTTTCGCTCTACCTTTTATCTGAAAGGCTATTGTTTCTCGCAAAGTAGAATGAGTGTATATTTATCAATGCCCACAGTAACCTGGAGCTATTTTTCTACCTGATAGGCTGCATTCTATAATCCAAAATCCGATATTTGCCAACTCCATTGTTGTTAAGTGATTTATACTTGGCAAGAAACATTAAAGAATATCTCAGCAAGTTTGACTCTTCGGCTGCCATATTATACCTAAAGCGCAATGCAGCTATCGGCTGACTAAGGATTTTTATTCAGAGCGCAGTCCTGGCATGGAGAGAAAGTCCCACAGTTAAAGAGATACTGCTTTTTCACATCCCGTCTTAATGACTAGCAAATGTACATAAAATCATATATAGCAAAATATAATTGTTTACCTAGTAACATCTTATTTAGTGCATTTTATTAGAAGCATCTGCCTGGTGCCGGTTTAAGGGCCTCATGGGTCTGGGGCTGAAAGTTTTGATTGGCCTAATTACATGAGTATTGAAGAAACACTCCTGTAGTGGTTATTGAAAGGGTTAATGCTGTTCTGGACTCAACTCCCCTCGATTCTCGATTCTCCGGTCACCAAATCAATTGACGGGAGTTCTTGTTTAGCAAATAACGACAGACACGAAAGAGTGCTCTAACAAGTTCTCAATGAGTATATTTTCAGGGCTAGCATTTATACACAGTTTGTCACGCAAGCAGCGAGATTTATCGCTTACTTATAGTTAATAGTACATACTTGTCTGACATTAAAAAGATAAGCATTTGAATAAAGACGGGACAGGAACATCCTGAGGTCGAGCGAGGTCATACATCCTGTAGAATGGAGGCCTCTCAGAGCATGTTACAGAATACATCTGCCAAGGTCAGCATAATTATTTCAAACATTATTTTAAATCATATAATGCAAAAAGAGTTTACTATTTCATATCCTTACAGTTATGGTACTTAGAATGTTTCTATAACAGGATGTTGCACACATATCTAAAACTATACCTAAGTGCCCAATTGTGGGCATATATAACCCGATAACTACATTCGCATATGCACACTGGATAGATAAGTCCTATACTAAGCCTCTGCACAAGTTTATTCACCCTTCCTCCTATATACAAATGGGTTGTATTCAATATAGTACAGAAAATAGTGAACTGAAAATTAAATGGCTTTCAATTTTCTACAATTGGCTGATTAGTGTATATTAGTGTATAATCCTGTATATCACAACCTGAGATATATGTATGTAATGTGCAAAGTTCTACTAGTGTGAATGTATTTGTGTGTGATACATATACATGCATATTTAGTTTTAAGGCATGTGAGTTACAATTCATACATGTAATATTTTATATGAGGAATATCATGTATATGATGGTGTAATATATGCTTGGTGTATGCACGTGTATGTGTGATTAATATATATGTGTAATGTAATAATTGAAGAATGTCAGTTTAATTTTCCTTTTTTTCATCTCGTTCTCTTTCATACCATTATATTTTTACCCTCTTACTCTTCTACTCTTCTTTATACCTCCCCCCTCAATATGCACTGCACATGAGTAGGAGTTCTGTAATCTCTCAGTATAACCTGCATTTCACTGGGGGCTTTGTATTCTATCAGGGAAACCTGTACATTAGTAGGGCTCTGTAAAATCCCAGTACACACTCCTGGCGGCTCTGTAATTCCACTTACACACTGCACGTTACTGGTGGATCTGTAATTCCACTTACACACTGCATGTTACTGGCTGCTCTGTAATTCCACTCACACACTGCACGTTACTGGTGGCTCTGTAATTCAACTCACACACTGCACGTTACTGGCGGCTCTGTAATTCCACTCACACACTGCACACTACTGGCATCTCTGTAATTCCACTCACACACTGCACACTACTGGCATCACTGTAATTCCACTCACACACTGCACATTACTGGCGGTTCTGTAATTCCACTTACACACTGCACATTACTGAGGGCTCTGTAATTCCACTCACACACTGCATATTACTGGTGGCTCTGTAAAATCCCAGTACACACTGCACATTACTGGCGGCTCTGTAATTCCACTTACAGACTGCATATTACTGGGGGCTCTGTAATTCCACTTACACAACGCACATTACTGGCAGCTCTGTAATTCCACTCACACACTGCACATTACTAGCGGCTCTGTAAAATCCGGGTACACACTGCACATTGCTGCGAGCTCTGTAATTCCACTCACATACTGCACATACATATCGGTTGCCCACACTAGCTTACCAATTTTATTTTCACAGTATAACTCACCTCCCAACAGAAGTAGCCCCAGAATCGGGACACATGTGGAAGGGGAGTAAAGAATTATAACTGGCTTCGCCCAATAGTGAATACACACCAAGCTGCCCGTCAATCACTTTGGCTGACCCATTGAGGACAGGCCCTGCAGGGAGCTCTATTTCACTTCTCCCTGCAGGATCCTAGAGCCATACACTTGGCATGAGCATGGACAGCAAGGCAGGACATAAAATCGGGACTGCCTCACCAGAATCAAGGTGGTTGGGAGGCATGGTATAACTCACTCTTCCACTCTCAACTGAAGTTGCACATCACATGCATATGATTGTAGCAGATGTTCTTGGTATCAGGTAACACAGACTCACTCTGGACACAGGTCATAGGAAAAACAAACAATTTATTCTGCAGCTGCAGAGTCCCAGGCAGACTAGCGTCTTCAAAGAACTGAGCCATGAGTCACGAGTTAACAAAGCTTTTATATCACAGATAATGACGTTCACACGTAGAGGAAATACAAGGGTTATTCCCACACTGCAGCAATTAATAACCTATTAGACATGTGCAATTAGTTTCGGTCCGAATATGAATTCGGACGAATTTCGGGTTATTCGGACATTCGGGTACTTCCAAATGTCCGAATTGCCGAGGTCCCGAAATGCTGAAGTGTCAAAGTGTCGAAGTACAGGATTGCCTAAGTACTAATATACTTACCTAGTGAAAGAAGAAAAATGTTACATTGTATACAATTTTAAATAAAAAGTATACAAACATAAGTATAAAGGAATGGAACATATCAGCTATGAAGAAAGGCTAACAAATTTAAACCTATTTAGTTTAGAAAAACTTTGCCTGAGAGGGGATATGATAACATTATATAAATATATTCGGGGCCAATACAAACCATTGTGTGGAAACTATTCACAAACCGGACTTTACATAGGACACGAGGCCATGCGTTTAGACTGGAAGAAAGAAGATTTCGTCTAGGCAAAGGAAAGGTTTTTTTTACTGTAAGAACAATCCAGATGTGGAATTCTCTGCCTGAAGAAGTGGTTATATCAGAGTCCATACAGATGTTCAAACAACTACTAGATGCATACTTGCAAAAACAGAATATTCAATGATATAATATTTCAATGTAGGGTAATAACTGCTTGATCCAAGGATAAATCTGACTGCCATTCTGGGGTTAAGAAGGAATTTTTTTACTAGCTTGTTGCAAAATTGTGCTTCAAACTGTTTTTTTTTGCCTTCTTTTGGATCAACAGCAAAAAACAACTGTGAGGAAGGCTGAACTTGATGGACGCAAGTCTCTTTTCAGCTATGTAACTATGTAGCCAGGATTCAGCTGTAAGCATTTGCAACACTTACAACAATCAAGTAACACACATTCATGTAATGAATGTAATGACAGAAATGAATAAAGTAGATAACTCCCTAATTCCCATGGTATTAGGGAGCTATCTACTAAAAGGCTGAAAGACCTAAATTGGTCTTTCAGCCAAATTTATTGGTACTAAGTAAAGATTACTTAGTATTAGTAAATGATTCCCCTTACTCGCTATACCGCTCAGGGGTGGGGGCCAGGGGGGAGGACGTTAGGTCCCCTCCCTTATTTTACTGTAGGGTCCCCACCCACCGCTCAGGGGGGAGGACATTAGGTCCCCCCTTATTAGTATTTAGGGGCCCCACCCACCGCTTAGGGGTGAGGGCCAGGGGAAGGACATTAGGTCCCCCCGTCTAATTAGTATTTAGGGCCCCTACCCGCCGCTCAGGGGTAGGGGCCAGGGGGGAGGACATTAGGTCCCACCCCTTATTTTACTGTAGGGCCCCCACCCGCCGCTCAGGGGTGGGGGCCGGGGGGGCAATAGGACCCTTTTTTTTTTTTTTAGGTCCCCCCCTTATTAGTATTTAGGGCCCCCACCTAACGCTCAGGGGTGGGGGCCAGGGAGAGGATGTTAGGTCCCCCCCTTATTAGTATTTAGGACCCCGCCAGCCACTCAGGGGTGGGGGCCAGGGGGAGGACATTAGGTCACAGGCTGCTCACTGTTTAATAGACATGCCCCTACTCGCGGTATAGCGAGGGACATCATCGCTGCCTCAGGTAAGTTACTGAAGGGGTTTACTGATTGGGAGAGAGAGGGGACCTGCAGTGCCAGGAAAACAGATTGTTTTCCTTGCACTGGAGTTTCCCTTTAACTGCGTATTACGTATTAAAGGAGCACTATAGGGTCAGGAACAACATGTATTCCTGACCCTATAGGGTAAAAACCACCATCTAGCCACCCCGGTCCCCTTATGCCTTCCTGAATATAGTAAAATCTTACTTGTATTCAAGACTGCAGCTACTTACTTAATCCCTGTTTCATTTAGACCTGCCCACTGCCTGCTGACATCAGCAGAAGTGGTAGCCTGATCCAATCACAATGCTTCCCCATAGGATTGGCTGAGACTGACAAAGAGGAAGATCAAGGGCAGAGCCAGCACAATTCAAACAGAGCCCTGGCCAATCAACATCTCCTCATAGAGATGAACTGAATCAATGAATCTCTATGAGGAAAGTTCAGTGTCTGCATGCAGAGAGAGGAGGCACTGGATGCATTTTAGGCAGCCATGACCCAGGAAGGATCTCTAACAGCTATCTAAGGAGTGGCCAGTGAAGTTATCACTAGGCTGTAATGTAAACACTGCCTTTTCTCTGAAACAAGGAGTGTTTACAGCAAAAAGCCTGAAGGTAATAATTCTACTCACCAGAACAAATTCAATAAACTGTAGTTGTTCTGGTGACTATAGTGTCCCTTTAAGCATTCACATCATTCCTACACATGTGCCCTGGTCCTGAGTGTTTGTACAGCAATGTAACCACATAAGTTCCAGATGTTTCTGGGGCATACTGTAGTCTCTATCACATTCCCCCTTTTGACTGACAATTATCATAACACAATGAGTCCTGAACCATTGACCTATTCATTCCCTTAGGAACTCATATATAGGGGATCCTAGTTTGTCGCCCTTCCTGAGGGGGATTAGGAAAAAGGAAGGTTTCATGGTTCCCACTACACAGACTCCCGGCCAATCACTCGGGAGTTCAGAGTAGGCCTTAAGGCCACAGATCCAATACATACTATTGGGTGCTTCCCAGGTGGACCCTGCAGACAGATTGGTCCATATATCCTTCAGATAGGAGTAGTTTCCAAAGGGACTGGGGATTGGTTCAGGGACATTGGCTGCGGACCTCCAGGAGGTGGTCCCATCAGAGGAATCGTATGCTTACTGCCCTAATACACGTGAGAGTATCTACAAAGGTTTTAAATTCTGGACCAGATCTGCCTATGCACACATTCCCGATTATGGAGGTTTTTAGCAACCATTCATTTTTGGGACGGGGTAATAAACCTCCCTCCTCACCATGTACCAGCAGCTCTAAAAGGATTGAAAAACCTAGTGTGTCTCACTATTTACGACTTAAGTTTCAATATTCAAATACAGTATTGT